GGGGAAAAAAAACCCCCCCCCCCCCCCCCCCCACTGCAGGGGTGGGGTATAAGGAATCCGTGTGTGCAGTGTGTATGATAATACGGTAGGACTTAGCATAAGGTAGGCAGGAGAATATGGTACCTGTAGGGAGGCACACATGTACACGGGAGAATACGGTACTAGGAGGGAGGCATGCATATGCATCTAGGAGAATATGGTACTAGAAGCGAGGTAGGCACGTGCACGCGGGCAATACGGTACCGGAAGGGAAGTGCGCGTGTTTTCGGGAGAATACGGCCCCCCCCTTCTCACCTGATGAGCCCGTTCCAGCCGCACAGGTAGGGGTCCATGAGTACGGTCTGCTCCGCCGTGAGGCAAGCCCGGAAGGCGGCCAGCACCTCCCGCAAGCAGAAGCCGTCCTGCTGCTCAGCCATGGCCTTGCCCCTGAGCACTCACACCCGGCGTTTTCCACCCCCCGCCCAATGGACGCCCTCCCCTCCGCGCCAGCCAATCACCATCGAGTTCTCTTTCGCACTGTCGGGTGCAGGGCGACGGCGGCACTCGCTATTGGCTGCGGACCCGGAAGTCGCGTCTGACTTGTGGCTCGTCAGATCGACACCGGGAGGGAGGGGGAGGGTTGGCGCCTGTACAATGTAGGCCCAGAGGGTTGGCGCCTGCGCAGCAGACCGGCGGCAGTCACGCGGCCTTGACCCGGAAGCGAAGGGAGCGGGGTCCCTGTCTCCGGCGGCGCGTGACCTGGAAGCGAAGGGTGCAGCTGGGGTCCCTGCAACTTGGCGACGCGGCCTAGTACCCCCCGGCCCGCCAATGCCTGAGATTAAAGTCACGCCCCTGGGTACGGCGTGGTGGGGCTTGGGAGCGCCCGCAGCCCTGCGCCGGGCGAGTGGGGAGAGGTGAGTGCAGCGAGGCTGCTGTGATTGATGCACCTGCCTCTTGTCCTTGTCCAGGGGCCGGCCAGGACGTGGGCCGCAGCTGCATCCTGGTGTCCATTGCGGGCAAGAACGTCATGCTGGACTGCGGCATGCACATGGGCTACAACGACGATGTGAGTCGGGCCGCGGCCTTTTTGCCATCCTCTTCCCTTGCTCTGCCGTCACCTCCCCCTGAAGCTGTCCCCGTTCGTGCTGGCGGCAGCATCCGCGATCACCCTGTCACGGACTCCTGACATGCTGGATGCTGCCGTTTGTTTAATGACATCAATAGCCAGCTTTGTTGAATCATGGATGACCTGCTTTTCTGTCCCGCAGAGGCGCTTCCCCGATTTCTCCTACATCACCCAGAACGGACGGCTGACAGACTTCCTGGACTGCGTCATTATCAGGTGAGAGACCTCGCAGCCCTCTTGCAATCCAGGTGGAAAGAGAGGCACTTTGGAGCCGTTTATTGACCGTTCAGAACAGCCCCCTCCCATGATGACCAGTGCTAGTAATACCTAACGGTGTTAGTAATTCACTGTCACTAATACTTAACAGTATTAGTGCTGGTAATACCTAACAGTTAGCAGATGGTCTAACACCTGTGCATAGCTCTCCCAGCACTTGAAAAACATGAATGTTTAGCAGGTTTAATTTAACATACAGTTATATAATACAATACTTGTGTGTCTGTAGTGTCTCTCAACACCCAGAGTGGCGTAGGACCTAGAAAAGTCTGACTCAAAGCCTCTGGGTCATACCTCTTACTCTGTGCGTCCCTTCACAGTCACTTCCACTTGGACCACTGTGGAGCTCTGCCATATTTCAGCGAAATGGTCGGCTATGACGGACCCATATACATGACGCACCCCACCAAGGCTATCTGTCCCATCCTGCTGGAAGACTACAGGAAAATCACTGTGGATAAGAAAGGCGAGACCAACTTCTTCACTTCCCAGATGATTAAGGATTGCATGAAGAAAGTGGTAGCTGTCCACCTTCACCAGACCGTCCAGGTGAATAACCCACCTTGGGGGCTGCTGGTGTAAACCATTTGGTCCAGTCAAGGAGCAGGACTGTTTTTGTCTCTTTGTGCCAGCAGCCCAGAGAATCATAGAAAATTTGGGTTGGAAGGGACTTCAGGAGATCATCTAGTGTAGTCCAACCCCCTGCTCAAATTACAACTATCCCCAGGTAGGTCATCCCAGCCAAGGCTTTGTTTAGGCCGGGGGTCTCAAACTGTGGGTCAAAACTGAGCAGCTTAAAAGGGGGCTGCAAACTTCCTGGGGCATATGTGCAGCAGCACGGAGTAGTGGATGGCAGCAGTGGCTGCTGCGTCTGAGTTCCCTGTCCTCCATCACTGCCACCTAGCACTTGGGGTTGCGGTATCACAGAGTTTGAGAACCCCTGGTCTAGGCGGCTCTTAAAAACCTCCAAGGATGGAGATTCCACAACCTCTCTGGGTCACTTATTCCAGTGTATTACTACCTTCCTAGTGAGAGAGATTTTCCTAATATCTAACCTAAGCTTCCCTTGCTGCAACTTGAGCTCATTGCTCCTTGTTCTGTCATGTGCCACCACTAAGAACAGTCCAGGTCCGTCCTCTTTGCAACCCCCCTGCAGGGAGTTGAAGGCTGGTATTAAATCCCCCGTCACCCAAGGTCAGGGTACATCTGCATTACAACCTGGTCAGATAAACCTGAACTAGCTTTACACTAACTGGCTCAAGCATTACCAGCAGAGTAGCTGCAGCAACCCACAACTGGAAGCAGACTAACTGTCCAAGTATTTACTCTGTTTCTGGGTGGGTTGTACAGCATTCATTAGAGCTCTGTGCTTCTGTGCCTACACTGCTAAAGGCTCTTGTGCTGCAGTCTAGACATGTTTTTAGACAGAGGGGTAGTGCCCAATGAGAGAAGAAGGCACAGAAATCTTCTGAAACACCTCTGTGATGGGATTGTCTGCCCTAGCTGCCAGGCTTGCTCTTACTCTTCAAGATTTGTTCTAACTTTGGGGGTTCAGTGATGCCTGTCACTTTCCCTTTGCAGCCCCCAAGGTGTGCGAAGGGTTTGATATGGAGCACTATCGGTGAAGAAGCAGAGCAATTAAATCAGTTGTTTTCAGGGTCGCATGCCCCAGCTTATGAGTTTTGCTTCCCAATTGAGATCAAGCCTCTTTTGGATGCCAGTGGACATCTTTCCATATAGGTGGATGACGAGTTGGAAATCAAGGCATACTACGCTGGCCATGTGCTGGGAGCAGCCATGTTCCAGATCAAAGTTGGCAGCGAGTCTGTGGCGTACACAGTAAGTATCCAGATAAATATTTTATGGACTCTCACATCTCTAATGGGATATGCCGTTACCTTTGAGACAGTAAATGGGTCCCTTTAATCTTTTCTCTTTTTCCATTAGGGGGATTATAATATGACGCCAGACAGACATTTAGGGTAAGTGAGAAATAGTCACCGTTAATTGTATTGGGGCTGCTACAGATTGGGGGATTGTATTGGCAGGTCCTGTTAACCCGTGGGAATTTATTTGTGATGATTCCACATTCTTTGGTGGGAGACTAAACCACTTAATGTCTTCCCTGCCGGGAAGATAAATGACATTTTCGATTGCTGTGCTAAATAGGTTTCTAATGATGTCTCAGGATAGAGATAAATGCAATGCTTTTCACTCTGGCATATGGTTATATTGATTCCTTTGTCAAGACTGCACAGCCATTGAATTTGAGCAGTCCATACGTTGCTTCATTGTCACAATACCTTTTAAATGTGTTTGACCTTCTAGTGGTCCACACTTTTGTGCCATGGTTTCCCCAGCTGTAAATGGAGGCTGTTGACATGTGTTTTGAGAGCTGTGGGGGCAAAGTGCTGTGTATTCCTTGTTGTCATTTATTAAATGGTCTTTTTTTTTTTTAATTTGGTACTGTTTTAGTGCTGCTTGGATTGATAAGTGTCGCCCTGATCTGTTGATCTCAGAGTCCACCTATGCCACAACTATCAGAGACTCCAAGCGCTGTCGGGAACGAGACTTCCTGAAGAAGGTTCATGAAACTGTGGAGAGAGGAGGGAAGGTGTGTTACGTGGCATAAGCTAACTGGGGCTCCCCCAGCCCTGTGGGAGATGTGGGCTCCTCAGGGAATGAGAGGAGCCCAGAGACGCTTGTTGGGAAGCAGTATCTCTGCTGCATTGATTTGTTTGAAGTCATCGAGGGTGTCATGGCCTAACTCTGCATCTCATCGGCAGGTCCTTATCCCGGTGTTTGCTCTGGGACGTGCCCAAGAGCTCTGCATCTTACTGGAGACTTTCTGGTAAGCATCAGCTTCACCCTTTTCATACTGGATTAGAGCAGACATCCCATTTGTTTCTCTGCAAGTTATTGAGGAGATGCTACATGTCGGTATGATGGGGATATTGATCAATGATCCCCATCTCCCTTCTGTAAGGGTGTGCATAGAAATTTAGGGTAGTGGGACTGACTCTTGTGTGCACAGAGGGAAGAGCCCAGTGGTGCTTGCCAGAAGCAACCAGGCCTGACTGACTGACTTGTTTCTCTTCCCAAAGGGAGAGAATGAACCTGAAGGCCCCGATTTATTTCTCCACCGGTCTCACGGAAAAGGCCAATCATTACTACAAGCTCTTCATCACGTGGACCAATCAGAAGATTCGCAAGACTTTTGTCCAGAGAAACATGTTTGAATTCAAACATATCAAGGCTTTTGACAGGGCCTTTGCTGACAACCCTGGGCCAATGGTATGTGGTTATAGAAGGTTATAGAACAGAGGGGCTGGGATAGGAATCACTTCAGTACCACTGCAGGCCTGGCTTAGCAAGGAAACTCACCCGTGTTATGGGGCTGAGCATCCTCAGCTCCTGTCATCAGTGAAAGGCTTAGAAGGAAATGGAAATTTTGAGGAATGAGGTTTGGTGGAAAGTAGTGAAATCGAATTCAATGGAAATTACATTAGGTTAAAAAAAATCGTGCAAAACACAAGTGCAGAGTGCGTACTGCACTGTGTGAGAGCTGGTACAATACAGGGCCAGAAAAGGCATTTCCTTGTTCATGTTTGAAATGCTGTGTCTCAAAACTGCTTTTAAATTGTGCAGAGAAATGGTCTTTTGGGTGTGGTAGCTTCTAAGCATGTGTTCTGTCTAGGTCGTATTTGCAACTCCAGGCATGCTACATGCAGGACAGTCCCTACAGATCTTCCGGAAATGGGCAGGGAATGAAAAGAACATGGTAAGAAAGCTCTGTGGTTTTGAGTGACACCTGTGTGAATGCTGCATGGCCCACACAGGTTTGGGAATAAGCTGTGTATCTAATGGGGTAAGAATAGCAGGAGACTCTTTCAGGTGAGTCTTTCTGAAGAATCCATCCACTAACAGTAATAATAATTATAACCCCTGACTGGCTGCTGTATTGTGTACTAGCAGCATGATTTCAGAATAGTGCTTACAGATCAAACTGTAGCCCACTGAAATGCACTGTTCCTCCCCAGGAGTCAAACTGTGACCAGCGGGAGAAGGTTAAGGCATAGTTTGTTGATGCATATCAGTGAATATGACACACTTGGTTCTGGTGCTAACATTTAACCTCCTCAAAGTCGCCAGCTGTGTCTTGACTCCAGATTCCAAATGTGGAGAGAGGAGATGATGATGTGTGAAGAAGAACACATTATTCACCCCCACAGACACTGCATGTGAGCTGTGCAGGCTTTGCAGACCGGGTTTCCATTTATTTCAGTGGAGGCCAGGACTCGCAAGTGTGCCGTTTGGGCAAGTAACCATGGGGAATAACTTTGGAAAGCAGCCCATGTTTCTAAAGCCATCCTGTTCTAAGGCTCTTAGGGGAGCCTGCAGAGAGGTACTGTTCATTTGGTTGCGATCTTTTCATGTAAAGCAATAAGGGAACACTCCTTGACTGAGACTGTAAAGCCCTTTTTTTCCCTACTGGGTATTCCAAAGGTCTTTGAAAGAGGCCTTCCTTTAAAGAAACCCCAATGAACCTGGACGATTGATCTGGTCTCTGTGGGCATGGGGAGAAGGGAATCCGTTGAGGAATGACCAGAAGTGCAGGTTTTATCAACTCTAGCTGTTAGGGTTCTTAATCTGTGACATCAGGAGGTGCCTCAGAAACAAGGAGCATTGCAAGATGCTTTTACTGGGAGTTTATTTTCAACCCTACTTGCATTCTTTTGATGGTTTCCCCTAGACACCTGTCTTAACTGGTAACAAGCCTTGGTTAGCAACACACATTCTAACAGAAGCCATCTTTTGTTTTATTCTCAATGCTTCTTTCATCCCTGAGGATTTTGCCAGGAAGAATGCAGGGAGGGAACAATTAAACTGAACAGAGAGTAGCTCGCAAGCAGAGGCTGTGGTGGACAGGCTCAGAACTATGGCCACTTCCATCATGACTAACACCTGGGTAATTCTGCAGCTCAGGTCGTATGCAGGGGTGATGTATTTTTCTGGATTCCTTCCTAGGTCATCATGCCAGGCTACTGTGTGCAAGGAACTGTGGGCCACAAGATCCTGAGTGGGCAGCGGAAGCTGGAAATGGAAGGGAGGCAAATAGTAAGTGACTGTGACCAGACTGAGCTTTTGGGGGAAGCTCTTCAAAGACAGGCAGCTACTAGGCCCTGCTGGCCGTGGGTGACACTTATAACCTTACCACCTTCTGTCCAAGAAAACCTCAGTGTTGGTTGTTAGGCTGAGAAATGTTTAAACAGGAGGGATTATTCAACAGGTTTCTTTCCTTGTGTTCGTGATCATTTGCCCCCTTCTGCATATGGCCTGGCAGCTGTAGATTGCATAAGCAGTAGCACTGCAGTAACTCTTAAGTCTCTTAAGTCACTGAAAAGTCAGATTCTGGGGATTTTAGCATGGGTGGGCTTCTATGCTGTGTCCAGAAGAGGTTTAAATCCCCTGTAACCAGAGAGATAGCCAGCCTGTGGGCTTTGCACAGAAGGGGGGGATGAAAAGTGTTAATTGCAGTCCTTACATGCTGATACACTGTTGCATAGTTGAACCAGTGCTGCAGGGCACAGTCTGATCCTGTAAAACATGGAGTGCTCCCGGCACAGTGCCCCCCAGTGAAGCTGGGAATCGGGCTGCTTTGCCTGACCAGCTTCCTGCCACGTGGGATTTCTGTTCACTCCCACAGCATTGTGTGTGTCAAGAGCCCTACGCTACTTCCTGCACGGTGCGGAAGTCGTACGATGCCCAGTGATCAGGGGCTGGGTTTGTGTGCTTCTCTTTGCAGCTGGAAGTGAAGATGCAGGTGGAATACATGTCCTTCAGTGCCCACGCCGATGCCAAGGGCATCATGCAGCTGATCCGCCAGGCTGAGCCACGCAACGTGCTCCTGGTCCATGGGGAGGCAAAGAAGATGGAGTTCCTGAAGCAAAAAATTGAACAGGAATTTCGTATGTACCATTTGTGGGGCAGATGGAGCATGGAAGTGGGGAGGGCGTGACTGATTGGAGCATGGATAGTTTCCTGTGCTGCTGGCCCCTCTCAGACCAGTTGTGAAGATGCTTGCTGTCATGTATAGTAAGCCCCGGCTGTTGCTTCACTGAGGAGCAGGGAGTGTGTGTTGTCTGTCTGTGGTGTTACAGATTTATTTAAAATTGTGTTTCCTAAAGCCAGAACAGACATGTGGAAAGGAAAATGAAGTGCTTTTGTGTCCATATTTCTGTGCTAAAGACCAGGCAAGCACTGGAGACAAACCAGACTTTTTTTTTTTTTTTTTTTTAAA